TAGCTTTCAAAGTGAGAAATATTTAATACAAGGCCCAGCATTCCCAGCTGACAGAGACCAACCACCAGATATTTAACTGAGGCCATCAACCAACCACTGGCAAGGGGCAGGAAAAAAATAAAGCCCACTGGAGACTAGTAGAATTACTCAACTGAGCCCAAGCCTACATGACAGCTACAGATATACACAAATAAGTCATTATTTTAAACCAATACGATAGCAAAAGGCAATGGATACAAATATTTATGAAATCTGATTCACAGAAAGAAAACCAAAACCTACTACAGAAAAAGCACAGAGATGAAAGCTTAAAAAGCACTGAAATATTTTACTTAAAACTCACTACTAATATCTAGAGACAAAATAAATTTTATACAGTAGGTGGTTCCTAGTTGAGGGGTATTTTAGGCTGCTACACAGAAATCTGACATTATCAGCTGAGAGATGTTATCTTCCTGTAGCGGTATCCAAGACGACAGAAACTGATAAATAGTCTTTATACTATCCTTTCCTTAGTCAAGAAAAGGCAATTTGGAAAGGAAAGATGTGTAAAACACCACTGGGTATCATGGAGTACAGAGCAAAAGTTAAAGACAGGGAGAAAGAGGTGTGAAAAATAAAACCCAAACAAAATGAAACTAAATTTGGTTACTATGGAGAGCTTTGGGCCTGAAATAAAAAGAAAACCAAGTGAGGGTAGGATGTCATCTCGCTCACATGAGAAAATAAAGGAGAAGGGAAATGTAAACAATAATTGCAGTTTTAGAAACATTTACACCTGATACTTCTCTATAAAGGCAGTATATTATAGCCATTATGAGTATCAAATTTGGAGTCAGACTGTCTCAGTTTGCCTTAAATTCCTCATTTGTAAAATAGGAAAAGTACCTATCTTACAATATACTATCTGTTTACTATTCTGTTATGGTTGTTACTGTTAATGTAATTGAGATTAAAATGGCACACATAAAGTGAACTTACAGCATGTAATTAGTAAGCGCAATACAGTGTGTGTAACTGTGATATGGTGAAACATATGTATCAATTCCTTTAATACTTAGAAAACTTTTATTATGCCCATCTTGCAGATGAAAAACTAGGCCCAGAGATGGCATGTAATTTGTCCAAGGCCACATAACTAATAAATGTCAGAGACAAACTATGAAGCCAGAAGATACAGATCCAGCATCTGTGTTCTCTCTCAACTATTATAAGGTACTAGCTTCAACAGAATGGGACTCAATGACAGAATACAGAGATAGAAATACTGGAAAGCTGCATAGGAGGAAACTGACCCCTATTTTTAAATCATATGTAAAAATCAATTCCAAAAGGACTGTCAATCTTAATGTGAAAAGTAGAAGAAAAAAACTCCAAAGACACACAAGATTATCTTTATGATCATTAGCAAATAATTTCTTAAACAGAATACAAAAAGCACAAACCATATAGGAAATGATTATGTAGAAGATAATCTTCAAAACTTTTTTCATCAAAATCATTTGAGACTGACTGCAACAAAGGAGTTAAAAAGATATGCTACACATATAATGAACAAAAGGTCCATAATCAAAAAGCTAAAAAAAAAGATAAAAAATCATAAACCAATGGAAAACATAGACTTCATAAAAGAAGATATCCAAACAACCATAAAAATATGAAAAAGTATTCAACCTCACTGGTCATCAGGGAGATACGAAATACGATGAAGATACCACTACACATACATCATAATGACTAATTACAAAACCTAACAGAAGGAAGTGTTGGTGAAAATGTGTGACTATGAGAACTCTAAAACACTGCTGATGGGACTATAAACAAGTAACCTGGAAAACAAGCTTCATCTATTTCAGTTAGATACATGTAGAGCCTATGACTCAGTATTTCACTCAAAGGTATACACCCATCAGAAATACTTGTACATACACTCCAAGAGATTTGCACAGCAATATCAGTGCAGTGTCATTCATAATAGCCCCAAACAGGAAATAATCCAAATGCCTATCAACAGATGACTAAATACAGTATGTTCATACAATAAACGACAATGAAAATGAATGAACTACACACTTAAAATAAATCTCATAAATAGTGAAATAGGCCAGACAAAAATACATACACAGTGTTTGATTTCACAAAGTTCAAAAAAAGCCAAGACTATGGGATTATAAATTCATACTTTTGAGAGGGACAGAAGTAGAACTTGAAAAAAATTATCATAAAGGTTTAGGGTGGTATAATGTTTCTATTTATTGACCTGGATACATTGACTTGTGTAATTCATTAGAATGTACCTTTGTGACTTGGGTTTTTTTCCCTATGTATGTTATAATTTAACAAAAATTGATTTTAGAAATATAGTCATACCATGTTAAAAAAAAAAAAAGCACTGAGCAGCTAGTTGTTTCCCAAAAATATCTTAAAAATAATGATGTAGTTCGCATACTGTTATTTTCATATTATGCAAGTCTTATTTTTAAATCACAAACTACCTCTCCCTCCCTGCTTCATACTTGCCTGCCTAAGCCTACTCTGTGTGGAACCCCATTACAAAGCTGAGCTATCTCAACCTCCATCTGAAGAAGCACAGCCTAGCTAATACTTATAAATATTCTGACTTGCAATATGCCAACAGTTTTAGTATATATAATAGAACTATACAAAGGTGACTAAATAGTGTGATTGCAGGGCAATAAATTGTTCTAATTGCCCCAATCAGGAGTACAAAAACAAAGAGCACCAAAACTAAACCAAAATAACAAGAAACAATTCCAACAAAGACATTTAAAAAAAAATATATATATATACATATGTATGTATATATATATATAGCAAGCAATCCTTCAAAACCCTAAAAGGTTGTTATTAATATAATAATATTACTGGTAGTAGTGCGACCTACAAAAGCTCAACAGCTATGTGGGAGGCACAACAGGATGCAAAAGAGGACACCTTAGTATTCTATAAGCCACAGAAATGAAAAGAATATGAACTGCTGCTGCGAAGTCACTTCGGTCATGTCCGACTCTGTGCAACCCCACAGACGGCAGCCCGCCAGGCTCCTCCGTCCCTGGGATTCTCCAGGCAAGAACACTGGAGTGGGTTGCCATTTCCTTCTCCAATGCATGAAAGTGAAAAGTCAAAGTAAAGACACTCAGTCATGTTTGACTCTTAGCGACCCCATGGACTGCAGCCCACCAGGCTCCTCTGTCCATAGGATTTTCCAGGCAAGAGTACTGGAATGGGTTGCCATTGCCTTCTCTGGAATATGAACTGATGAATCAGCAAATGGTTTGTAAAATCAAGACAGTCAAATCAAAGTATAAAAAACTGCATGCAAATGTGACACTAAACAAATCTATCAATAATGGCCTAAGACCTCAAAGTCCCTGAAATATCCAGCAAACACCCTCTTCCGGAAGGTAAAAAACTTCATACTGAAGGAAAACTTCTGAAACTGAAACCAAATTGAACAGGGCAGAAACACTGATGTTAAGAGGGAGAGATGGTTCAGATAAGGGGAGAAGGGGAAGCTGGGAGGTAGTGATGCTCAGAGGGAGCAAATCCCAGGAGAAACAACAACAAAATGTAACATTTAAAACTGAGAACACCACCTCAAAATTCAAGACCTGAAGACCCACAGGGTTAAAAAAGAGAAATGCTGAAGCCAGAAATATCATTATGAACCAGACCTAGTTCTAAGAAAGACTGGATATATAGAAAGGTCATATCTGAGTTCTCTGTTTCAAAGAGAAAGTATATAAAGACCAAGTGGGGAAAGGTATCCTGTCCTACCTCCAATTCCCCCAAGACCATAAAAACAATCTCTTAATAGCCCAAAAAACTATATTATTTAAATGTAGAGAACAAAAAGAATACGAACTAACTGCATAAAAAATTACTATGAAGAAAAAAGAAGAGAACAAAACACGGAAAATGACAGAAATATTAAAAAAAAAAAAAAGAGGACTAATATAGGAAGTGGGAAAGGAGATCCAGTAAACTTATAATTGGAAACCTGAAAAAGAAAACTTATGCAATCAAGCAAAATAATTCAAAATACTTATTCTAAAAAAGCAACTTTTCTCAAGTTAAGAGGAGTGAATCCAAATATTAAAAAGGTTTACAGTATATTTGGGGAAACTGACCCAAAAATAACCAACCAAATGTTATATAGTAAAACTACTGTAACCAACCAAATGTTATTATAGTAAAACTACTCGATTTTAAAGATAATAAATTCCTTTGGAAAACCAATGATAAGTTCAAGTCACTTATTATAGAAAGAAAGTCAGGATGGCATCAAACTTGCTTTGACAGCAATATTTTACCCTAAAAAAAAAACAAAAAATAAAAACAGAACAATATGTTTAATACTTAGGTAAATGTATTTAATAGCCAAAGGATGTAAAGAAGTCAAACTGGCCTTCAGGTATAGACTATAGATGGATAAATTACAAATATGCAAGATATAGGAAGATGTGTTTTTCCATGACCCTTTCTGAAGAATCTCCTAGGGATGAGCTTCAGAAAACTAAGAAACGTGTGGAGACATTTCAGATAAGATCTGACTAGAAGCAGGGCACATAACCTTTGTTACATAGTCTTGTTAGTTTACTTTTAGGCTTTCCTTCCTCCTTTTTTATTATTTGTGGTATCTCTGATTAATAATAAATTCATGTACCCAATCTGCCTCTGAAATGCATCATGCAACTTACTTATACTTTCTGGATTTTTAGAATTACTTTTTATCTGCCAAATGCAGAACTGCTGAGATGATAAGGCTCTTTATGGGATCACGTAAGTAACAAACTCCTTTTGAGGGAAAAAATATGTGATTCTACAAGTTAATTCTACACAGTTAAAACACATTTGATAAAGACCCAAAAGTATAAAAGTTCAATGACAGACACCTGGCTTTATAGCTTGTGGAAAAACAAACAACTAAGAAATACATTAACTGACCTATGGGATAATATAAAATTATCAGTACTAACCTGATAAGCTCTGTTTATTTGACTGGCTGCCCAACTAGCATATTTCATGTTGTCTTTTTTTGTTTTTGCACTTGCTTTTGGATTAGAAGCAATATGACTTGCAGACTAAAAACAAACAAAAAAAAATTAAGAACTATTTTATTCCTTTTATGTAGCCAAGACAATCAAAAGGTCACAGTTGCAATGGCTGATAATTAAGAGTTTTTTTAAATTGTGCAATTTTTAATGCAAAGTTGAATAAATTAGTGTTTACAAACAAAAACATATTTTCAAACAGAATAATCCGAAGAAGTGATAGCTTAAATGACATCTAAAATTATTTTATTAGTTATCTACCACCACTCTGGAAGGTAAAATTTCATTATTACTTAAATACTACAGGATATTACTGGTGTAATTTCTTATTAATGAATTACTTCAGTTTTTCTATTTCAGAATTATAGAATTACTGAATATTAAAATAAGGAGCCTCAAAAACAATTTAATCCAACTTCCTACCTTAACATGTGAAAAACAATGAAGTCCAAAAGGAGTAAACTGACTTAAAATAAGTTAACAAAAGTCTTAGAAACAAAGAGATCATCACTTCCAATCTATTTCTGTTTTCACTATACCAACAGTTTCCAAACTGTGTTCCATAACCAATTAAATTCACCCTTTCCTTTTGAAAAACTGTATTTAAACAAAGGACTGGTACTCTGGGATCCATGAAAGAATCTGTAAACCCTCATAATCATACTCTAATTTTTAACTGTATGTATTTCTGTTAAGAGAAAGATTTAACTTTTATCTTATGCTTAAATATATCTTATTCTCAAGAGATTCATTGTGGTTTCTTTTATACCTAGCCTACGCTATAAGCTTTTTCCTTCTGTCTTCTTCTCTGCCACTAAGGAATTTATATGTCAAAATCTGATTTTTAAACTTTTATGTCTTTAATGTTACCTTTTAGGTATGAATGTCAGCAAATGCAGTAGTTAAGAAAATGTCTCTGGAGTCACTCTAGAGTCAACTGCCTGAACTGGAATCCCAACTCAATCTTTTAATAGCTTGTGTTCAACCTTGGGCAAATTAATCAGAACGCTCTGTGTCTTAGTTTCATTTTCTGTGAAATAGTAGTATTAATAATAACGTACCTTCTCAAATAGTTGATGTGAGAATTTAATAATTTACAATAAAAAACAGATCTCATAACAGAGCCTGACACATAAAGTGCTGTGTACTTTTACTATTTAATAATTCATTACCTATTTTTAAAAATTAGCATTTAATGTATTTGGTAAAAATAGACATTGCTACCATATTGTATCTACAAGCTACTATAACTGGCACTGGTAGAATACAGAAGTAGTTCTTTTGAAGCTCCTTTTAACTGTTTCATAATTCTATTTTGCCATTTCTTTGCTGAAAATTATTTCATTTATGTTTCTTCCTGCTTCCATTTCTACAATCAATTCTCTTTCACTAGGCTCCAGCAAAACATTCATCCAAAAGTCCATGAAAAGACTAAAATAAATTAAAATTTCAAAGAACTGGCCTATTAATGAAGTTTATTTTTATAGTCATTCTGATTGTAGAAAGGAGCTCATTTTATTTAATTTTGAAGTTCAGCAAATTCTTCCTCTATTTCCCATAGCTACTGTTAATTGACTTTTTCTAAGCTCATCATTTGGCATACATAAACAAAAGAAATATTTAATTACAGGCCTGCCATAATTAATTTCCAAACTGTCTATACCATGAAAAAAAGTTTTAACTTGGCAGGAGGAATTTTACTTCTAATATATCTTTTATTTAAAAATATATCAAACAATTATAATTTAAGTAAGAAATATTAATACAATGTTGGGCATAAGGCCAAGAATAACAAAACAAGAAATACATAACATAGCTTTGTATCTGCTATTTAATTTTACAAAGGCAGATTTAAATTCTGATATAAGACAATTTACAATGAAATGTCAAATAGCTAGGCTTTATTAACATTCAAAAATATAACTGCCTTATAACCTGTTGCTCATAATTAACTAGAGGAAAAACATCATATGCTTATCAATGAAATACAAAAAAAAAAAAAGGAGAAGTGATAAACTTGGACAGGTAATGGACTTTAAATGACATTTCATAAAATAACATTAAACATGTACCTCAACTCACCATGTAAAGTCCAAACAAAGCTCTCATATTTCTGTTGTTCAGTTTCAATGCCTGTGCAAAATACTTTCTTGAAAGTTCGAGATTTTCAAGTCCACCTTGGGTATATTTAACCTGTTAAAAATTACAGAGTGCTGAAACCTGTTTATTTTACTACTTTGAAATATAGCATGCTTCATCATACCATAGGCATTAGTAACTGAAACAGATATTTCTGTACACAAACGCAAGCTGTTAAAAGAATTCATCTTAAAGTTGTAGAGCTAATCTAAATTTTAAGTATAACCTAACTCCCAAAACCATTCTATGAACATCAAGATCACTGAGTAGTTTTTAAAATTAAAAACTGTTGCCAATATAAAAGCCAGCCTTGCAACTGCTTTACACTTTCTATTTTCTATTACTATACTAGCATTATAAACCTAGAATTCATACTAACTTGTCCTTTCCTAGTTGCACTGCATTCCTTAACAATGAAGTCCTTTAAACCTTATAGGAGTCAACTGTGTAGCTATCCTTAACAGTTAAGTTCCCAAAATAATGACCTAAATATACATTTCCTGAAATATGGATGTAAAAGTCATAATCATTGTAAATCCCTTAAAAGCCATTAAATGGTGATAACTGTGACATAATCCATAATTTAAAAATACACTATGCAATTAAAAAATACAATTAAAAAAGACTTTCACTATTTTAAATAAGGGCATTTAATTGAAAAATCAGTATTTCCATTACAATATTAACAATTTAAAACTTTTACTTTCAGAAATCAATTTTCATCATATGTCTTAAATATTTATACACTTGCTTGACGTTAAGGACATATTCTTAGTTCCATAATATATACCACCAACAAAAATAAAATCATGTACAACTAGTTTTTGAAAATACTTACTTCGGCATACTGCTGACAATATAAGTGATTGTAAGGATTAGTCATCATAAGCTCCTCTAAACAAAAGGCTGCTTTAGCATAGCTGAAAAACACCAATTTTAAAAGTCATGAATAGTATCTCAGTTACACTGTAAAATGATTTTAAAACAATTTTAGTGTTATTATACATTTTATTCCCAAAATAATTTAAAGTTTTATTAGTAAAGTACTTATCTTGAATTCATAAATACAAATAATACTTTTTTTTAAATGAAATGGATAAACAGAAGCTTAAATCCTAAAGCAGCCTATGATCAAAAGACATTACATTTTCAAAATTGGTTCACTACAATGACATTCAAACATTATTAACAGCATAGTCTTCAAGATCCTGGATCAGTTTATACATAAAATAAGTTCCAGAAATCCACTGATAATTTAATATTCAAATAGCTAAAGTATGATGAGGAAATAAACATTTTATAAAATATTCTCTATTCATTAAAAATCTTTCACAGACATGTATTTACCAACCTGTTCTATGAGGAAGACCTTAAGATTTTTCATTAGTTAAGGTTACTATCATATACAAAATTATGACAAAGTTACAAATTTCTAAGCCCATGAAAAATAGTGGTTTTCATATGCACTCTACTACTACTTAATCATGTGGCAGAGAAACAAAATCTTTATTAAAAAACCTAAAGAAAAAACTGTCTCCAAGGGCTCTGGAAAAACAGCTTTATCCCACATGACTATAATTTACTTCTTAATGTATTTTATATGTTTAGGTCATGTAAATATCCTTAATATTTACAGGAAATCCTAAAGAACACAGGTATTATAAGGTTTAGTCCCAGTGAGGAAGTGATGACATTGTAACAGAAAAAAGGCTACTAAAATTAATTTTGACATTTGTCAATATAAAAAGGTGCCTATTTTACACTAATGTCTGGTATTCTCACTTTTCAAAATATGTAAGCTGTTGTTTCACACGTGCAAAACTAATAATAGATAACTGTTTTTATGTGTTTATTATGTATCATGTACCCTCTGGCTGTTACAAATATTAACTCATTTAATTCCATCAATACCTTAGCAAATAAGCAGAAAACCTATATTCTTAACTACTAAGCATACTGTCTATATGCACTACACACTACAATGAAAAATTGTGGTGGTGATGGTATTTAAGAATATGTCAATAGTAACATAAAAAGAGATATAGCAATCAAACCCAAAGGGCCAAAAGACCCAAAAACACCCTCCCCAAGTGATCCCCCAAATCACAGCATTTTAGATTTATTAATGATCTTATTCAAAGATAATTCTCATGAAAGATCACACTGCTATTTAACCCTTTTCATTTTTATGCCCCAAATCTAGTATTAGTTCTTAATGTATAATAGCTATACAATTACTGAACAAACAACTGAGTAAACGTCTAGAACAAAAGTATTGTGACTATCAATCTAATATTTATTCATCACTGTATAGAAAAGGAAGTCACCTCTACCTTAAACACTCAAGTTCATCAAAAAGATAATTCCCTTCTAAATATGTTCCTTTAACTAGGGTAACACCAAAAATTCATATTAACTCTAAGAACAAACGTTCTCAGAGATTTAAGTGGTTGAGCAAAATTGTGACTCTTGATTCTTACATAGCATTAAGATAAAATGGGTAAACAGTAGTTTTTGTTTTTGTTTTTTTTTTTTCTCATTTCTTTAGTTTTATTCATGTTGGAGAAATAGCATATTACTGAATGATTAACACCTGTTCTTTCATGCATAATTTTGGAAAGTGAAATCATTTGTTTTTGACATTATATATTTTAAAGGGAAGAAATAAGGAGAAGAAGTTTTCAAAAGCCCTTGTTGTAATGTTCAGCACTTCATATGACTATCAGCAAATTAAATTCAGTTGTTCAGATTCAATGACAGGCTGTCACTGTACAAGAACAAGTTTCCTCAGCGCTTACATTCTTACAGTATACACAGCAATGCATTTGTGTTGTAAAAAGGTACTTTTTTATAAACAGTAGTTTTTAATGAAAAATTAATGCCAAGATATTTTTATCAAAAATTATTTAGTAGTAACATCACATACAAGGAGGGGATACCTTCTCCCAATTTTACAAAATATAAAATCAAATAAATTTTGTGGATAAAGTATAGAATCAAATAAACTTAGAGCTGGAAGGAGTAAGAAATGGCCTAGTCCAGTTTTTCTCAGGCAGCGGTGCCCAAGAGCACTGAGCCATATGAAAGTGATTTAAGTGACGACTATTTTCAAAATTCTTCCAAGGATGGTATATATCATCCAGATGGTACTGACTATTCCAGATACTTATATTAATTTATTATATACAACAACTCAATGAAATTAAGATTTAGAGAAGTAAAAATACTGAGAATCCATTTAAAATAGAATAACCACTGTTATTACTACATTAGAGTGAGCAACTAAAGTGTCTGTGAAGTTCTTCTGTTCCACATAAAAGTATATGTATAGGTTACAGTATTTGCTCCTAGATTGCTTTATCAGTATTACGATTTTTCCTTACAAGATCTTGATAATTCTCTTTGTTATAGAATCTTACAGTAAAGCTGGACCTACAATAATGACATTAATAATTAACTTTTAAAAACTGCTCCTTGCTGATAGCCAGTCTTAACAACAAATCACATTAAAAAGAAATTCAGTATCTTTGTTTAAAATACACAATTCTGTTTATAAAGTACTGTTGGGATTAAGGAAAAACCGTAAGTTTTTATATTTGGAACAAGTGTCTCAATATGATAAACCGGTGTGATATATACCAGTGGAGTAACTGTATCTAGAATTTATAAATCAGAAGCAAATTTAAATAAAAGCAACTTAAAGATATTAAAAATGTGGCAAAAATTTATATCTCCTTTTCTCTATAAAAACACTAAATAGACTGAGATTAGCATCCTACTGTGGAAATCTATTTTGAGTAAAAAGTCTAGATCTAGATTAGCAATCTGCCTGTGATTTACCATAACTATTAAAATGCAGAAAAGAATGTCAGAATGTTAAATATATCAAGCAATTCCTAATTTGCTACATTTTTGCCACTGTGTCCACAAAACTATGGTAAACTGATATCTGACAATAACTTACCACTTCTACCAAAAACATCCGATCTACCACAATGACTAGCCGAAACAAATTAAATGAATTAAGTGAACATTCTAATTTTCAAATAGCTTCAAAAAATATGAAGATATTTATTTTCACTCACCCTAAATCTAAAATATTCTTTCTAAATGTTCAATTAGAAAAAGTAAACAGTTATTTTGTAAGTAACTAGCTTCAAGACCAAAAGGAGCTTTGTAATACAAGACAAAAGAATATGCAGAACATAATTATCATTTCCCATAAAAAGAAATTACTTTTCAGGTGTTGTTCTGTCTTTGTATCTCTTGACTTCTGGTGATTCTTCCAAGATTCTATCCAACAATATCTCAATAAACTCTTTAGAGACCCAAAACAAAGCAAAACTGAATGTGGTTATTACAAGATGAAGTAAATAATAAATTTAGTGATAGGTTAAAAATACAGTATTACCTATTTAAGAACTATAAAAATATTTCAAATACATGCAAAAAAGTAAAACTGATAAAAGAAGTAGAAGAAAAAAGAGATAATATATTTATATAGTTCTTAGAGGATAGAAAACCTGAAAGCAATATAAATTGATATATCTAGCCATCTAAAAATATAAAGTTTCTGTAAGTTAAAAAAATCAGTATTAGCTGATATCACTTATATAAAGAGCTCCTAAAAAACATGCAACCAATTTTCACCTATTAAAACCTGCAAGGATTAAAAAGAACAATAGCACCCACTGTTGTTAAGGGGACATGCTAATAACTCTGCTGTGAGAGTAAATTGATACTACCTTTCTAGTGAACACTTAGGAATGATTTATCAAAATCACTAAAAAACACATGTATCATTTAATCAAGTAATTCTACTTTGAGGAATTTAACCCAAAGAAACAATTAAAAATAAAAACAACCATTACATGTATGTATAACTGAATCAATGTGCTATACGGCTGAAACTAACACTGTAAATCAACTATACTTCAATTAAAAACAAACAAAACAATGCTGAGTTTCCAATTCATGAATTTGGTATTATTTAGGTGCTCTTTAATTTCTTTAATTAATGTTTTGTAGTTTTCAGCACACAAACAATTTACATAAAAAAAAATACACATCCCAAAGTGTTTTATGCTATTATGAATGCTTTCTTTTAATTTAAAACTATGACTGTTTGTTGCCAGTATTTACAAATATAATTTTTATATAAGTGATATACTATCTGCAGGTTTACTATACTTACTAGTTCTAGTGACTTTTTTGTAGACTCTGTAGTATTTTCTAAATTGGCAATCATGCCATCTATAAATAACATTTTACTTCTTGAAAACAAACAGAATAAAATGAAGATAGTACATCATTACTATATTTTACTAAGAAATTAGTTAGGAATACCAGGGTTAATTAGTAAGATGGAATAATATTAAAATCACAATGTGGAATATTTTCTGTGATAAGGAATTTTTGATAAAATATAACTAAGTGAAAATCATAAGCTACAAAAGATAATTGTTCCTTTTTATTTCAAGGGATATTGAAAGAAAAAAATCAAATATAAACTGTAGTTAATTTAGGATGATACAACTACACATGATTTTGGTCTTTGTCTTTATCTTTATTTTTATTGTGTTTTCCAAATTTTCTGTATTTGGTACTTCTTTAAAGAAAAAATTTCCTTGATAATTTGAAATTTCTGTAAATGGTTTTAATCACAAAATCTTCAAGAGGCACAAAAACAAATAACTACCATCTGCTTTAGGGACAGATTAAAACCACTGTTAATTTTTTTTTTTTTTTACTGCACTCCAAAAATTCAGTTCGTTATTTAAATGGTTAGATAGCACCAGTGACTCAATGGACATGAATTTGAGCAAACTCTGGGAAACAGTGGAGGACAGAGGAGCCTGGCGTGCTGCAGTCCATGGGGTCACAAAAGAATCAGACACGACTTAGCAACTGAATATCAACAACAATACTTTATAAATGTTGACTTTAACACAATGAAAATAGGAAACATGACCATTTAACCAAATACACTACCACTCTTACACATATAAGAGAAATCTAACTACATTTACATTTACAATCATATAAACATCTCCATACATATACTTAACATGATTCAGGAAATAACTTCCTATTAAAAAACAAAGAGCATGTGATAGCCAGTATGTATAACAGAACTGAAAAATGGTTCCCAGAATACAGTACACATTCATTAAATGACAGCTATTACTTTTATTTTAGCTCCCACTTAATTAGAATTATACATATAACTACCTTAACTCTTCATTTTACATACACATATAGCCCTGAACAAAGGCAAAAGACAAGTGTCTTCATTCAATTTTATTTCCTGTGTCAGCTATTTTGTACTATGAGAATGAGGTTAAGTATTCTAAGAATTCATGCACAATAAGAATATGCACATGAGAATCTGATTCTATTCTCTCAAAAGGGATGAAAGAAACAATCTGATATACTTCAGACTCAGAACTAAGGAAAAAAAAACAAAACAAAACCTGCCTCCAGATAGAGGTTAGCATTAATGCTGTGATATTAGAAAACTTGCACTAAGACTGGGCTAATCCTCTCACACTGGGATTTCCTCCTGTCACTGCAGCAATAAAAAAAAAGCTAACAAAAACATTAAATACCCAATAAGCAAGTTCCTACAACATTCAACATTCTTGATTATTCTTGGTTTTTCACCCAGGCAACAGAATGCTTCTACTTTGGAAAAGTTGATTCTCTTCATGCTAAGGCTAATAAATGCATACAATTGACAGAATTTTTAAACAACAGGGAGTATAACACTCTTTGTATATAAGAACAATTTAAATTCTAAAAATTCACAATTTTGATTCACTAAAAATAACCTTAGCTCAGCAAATACATGCCTTTCTAATTTCAAAGAATGCCATCTGGATTTAAAAGAAAACTTATTTCCCAAATAAAAATAATTTAACAAAACACAACTGACCTACTTAAAACAATTCACATATTATAACCAACAAATTGTCAATTTATTTATTTAGTTAATTTGACACAATTCATATCTTCTCACCATTCCTTCAGAAACTACTATACCTCCTGAACTTATATAGTGATGAAAATTGCTTTTCTTAGCAAAACTTTATGTGTTTAATGACTTACTCATGTTCATTGATATAAAGTTCTGCAAGTTCATGCCAGGCTTCTTGGTCTCCAACAAATCTGGTGAGAGTAAGGGGGAAAAAAATTAATGTGTAGATATTCTGTAAATGAACAGCATGGAAGCCAAAAGGAAATCAAATGCAAATTCCATTTTAATTAAAAAAGATTTATCAGAATAACAAAACACAATCCTCTTGTAAGACACTCACTGTTCCAGATACTCATTCAGCTCCCGAATGGCCTCCACATTTTTCCCCTGGGCTTTTCGAATGGCAATCTTACGCTTTCTTGCAGCCTGTGGGTTGACATTAATAAAGGATTAGGCCTTCATGATTCCCTGGGTTTTTGTAAAGAAGGTAATTTGACTGTGCAAATTATTATCTCAATGCCAATGAAATTCCATTGTAGAACTACTGCTTAGTGAGAGTTTATAAACATACCCCATGACATCCCACTGGGGAGTTCAAACATTCCTCTAACAATCACATGTGCTTTACTTTTGATGTACACAATATATGCATCATTTCATTCAAATAAATAACCATCCAGATTCGAATAATTACAAGCCAGCAGGGAATCTTAATCTTTATCCAGCCTAAAGTCCTTTACTCTGTCTCATTCATAAGATCTGTATCTTAAGAGATAGAGGGATAGTGGAGATTAGAAAATAATCTTACTGTGGCCACTTGAATGTCATTATACAAATATGGCCTCTAATAACTTTTTTCACAATTTTAAGAGAAAAATCTAGCTAAAAGTCTTTCAAAAGAATAAAATGGGTTCTGAAAGAAATATTTTTATAATATACAAAACATTTAAAACTTGCATCTTAAAGCTTTTCAAATATAAATAGAAAAATAAATGCCATTTGTTTACACATTAATCAAATACATAATGAATACCTGTTGTTTGCCAGGTACTGTGCTAGACAGTGAAAATAAAAATAAAAAAAGGAATATATAATTAAGGGAGTTAAGTCTGATAAGAGAAAGATACATCAAATAAAAAGACAATGATAGAGGTACCTAGGATATTGTGACAACATAGAAGAGATCCTAACATAGCCTGAGGGGAAGAGGTGGAAAGACAGCAAAGAGGGTTCCAGATGTGATACCTGAACTGAAATAGAAGATGCAAGTAGACATAAAGAAAGCAGAAGAGAAAACTATATGGAGGGAGGACATTGGATATTAGGAAGAACTCAGTAGAAAAGGCAGCACTGTGTATAATCAAGACTTTATGTTTGGGGCCACAGTGAACAATCAGAGACTGGAGGGTGCTGTGTGAATTATTAAATTTACATCCCCTTCATCTCTGTTTAATTATGAACATGACTGTCATTCTTTAAAATAACACACACTCCACAAGATATAGACAAGGAAAGTAAAATGAATGAAGTCTCCTTAGATAAAAAGAGCTATCTGTCCTGGGGAGGAAAGGTGGACTTTCTGAAAAACTGAAAGTCAAAAAACATCAGAGAAAATTTAGAGACTTCCAATAAATAAAAGCAAGCACCATATTTATAACAATAGTGATAATAATATTTTGGTAATGATAAAAATGACACCTCTGTTAAAAATATATATCCTTGATTATATGGCTCATATCGAAGACCTACCACAATACCTGCCACATAGTAAGCAATATTTTTTAAAATAATTTTACTATTTAGAACAATGAAAGGACCATAATAAATATAAGAAGTCTCAATTTATAAAGAATTCAGAAGGAAAGTAAAAGTAAAGTTCTAAAAGTAACTTGCCCCAGTCCTTACAGGATCTTTATCAGTTAAAATGATTTTGTACTGATGCCGTGAAACCTGTTGAAAATACTGCATTCAAATTCCATAAATAAGAGACAAAAAGTCAAACTATAAACATGAATAGGAACCAGTACTTCTATAGTCATAGTAAGAGATGTGGTATGAACACTGTAATGGACACCATTATTCACAAATGAGTTTCATTTTTTAAAAAATACACCAGATACTAACTTTTTCTAAGTGATTTGACAACAGAATCATGTCTCTACTGTTGAACACACACCAAAGTTTTAGGACACTGGCATTTTGTAGAATACTGTTTACAAAACATTACCAGTGTTTCATAGATAATTAATATTTTTAAATGCCTTTTTTAAAAAAAATTAAAAAGCCTTTCATGAATGGAAAACAAGAGGTTTAAACTACCTAAATGCATCAAAAGAGGAAGGATGAGAAGTAGGATCTCAAATTTCTCATTATCATTCTAGATTCATTGATCAGAGTTCCTGAAAAAAACTGAGATATTACAAATTAACTTGTTACTATTATTTTGAATCATGGATATTTGTAGTAGGTGGAATACCACAATTTTAAAATAATGTAAAAGAAAAAAAAATTTGGTATTAACTTTTTAATAGTCTATTTTAAAAACTAAGAGTTTTCCACCTAACACTTTAGTGAAGTATAAGCAAAGATTTTAAATATAAGGTTTTATTAATCAATTTGGGAAACATGCTCCCAAATCTCTACTATATAAGCAATATACTGTTAAACCACTCTAAACCTAAGATACAGTATCCTATCTCCTAGTATTCTAAGTTTAAAAGCAAACTTTTAAGTAGTAACTATTCAACTATACAAAATCAGTCTTCTTAATGAAACTACACATGACAGTTTAAAGAAAAATCTACATGGCAATCAGTATCATACAGGCAACAATATATCATTAATTCACACACAACAGTCCTACAGAAAAATAATATAACATTTTGGAAAACAAAAAACTTTACTTATCATGATCATTTAAAAAGACTACTAAGCAGGGATTTCATTTCCAGCCAAGATGAAGTAACAGGGAGCAGTTTTATCCTCTTGCCTGAAAATACCAACTGTAACTATATATAAATATATATGTAACAACTATTTTTAAGGCAGAGGACAACAGGCAAAAAAAAAGGAGAGATGATTCCTGTCTGGCAGAAACCAACAAGGTGAGCCCTATTTTTATTGCCCTGGTTCACTGTTCTGAGTTTCAAGGGTGCTGTGCAAGAAAAGAAAACCAGGTTGAGCCCAGATGAATCCATGAGTTCAGAAAGCATTCAAGAGTCCAAGAAGATCAAACACGTTAGAGTTCATGGGGCAGAGTACAGGAAAATAAAGAAAAATACATAAGACTCTAAAGAGATTTCCCTTGAATCTCCAGGGTTCCCCTTAAGTACTCAGTACTTAATGTACTGACCAGTGCACGTGTACGAGAATACTGATCCCTTGAAGTAGTGAGTAGTACTGATCAGTACCGATCAGTGTATGTGTACGAGGAAACGTCAAATGCCAAGAAAAGATCTAAAAGAAACATTTAGGGGGAAAAGTGCCCCAGAGCTCACACAAGGCTGGGAACAGTGTCTTTTTCTACCAGCCAGACTGGAAAATGCCATGATTCCTAGGACACTGGATAGAGTACTAAGATGGACCTATTGGGGAATAATTAGTCCCAGGATAAACAATGTTCTGGGCCTATCTCACAAAGACCCAAAAGGATACAACTGTTTGTAATTTAATTACATCCTACAAGAAAGATTATTTATGTATATATGAATACAAAAATCAGAAGGGGCAAAGAAAACTTTAGACGATGATGATTCTGTTCACTACCTTAATTGTGGTGATGGTTTCACAGGTGTATACAATCATCAAAATTTATCAAATTATACACCTTAAATATGTGCAGTCTATTATACATTAATTATACACCAAAATAGTTTAAATACCATTAGACTAAACATTGAGTCTTAACTATTTATCAATTTCCATTTATATTTCTTTCTCACATTTTTTTTCACATCTTATGAACTATGCCAATGTTTTGAATTCTTCTGAATTTCTTGTTTAGATCGACCTTTGTAAAGTCAGTTTAAGTCAAAAATGAAAACTGCTCCACATTTTACAAGCAATCTTAATAATGGAGTCAGGATTTCTACTATAAAATATGAAACGCCAAAAAGTTCTTATGATCATAAATTTGTTACCTACCTCTGTAACATTATCTACTATAGTTAGCTATCAATTTTTTCCTAAAAGACATCTTACATCTTCAAAAAAAAAAGAAAAAAATAGGCCACACAGGGCAAGAACCTAGAAAAGGATTAAAGGACTAAGGTCTACCAGTTAAGTACAATGCAGAGCAACCCCTTCCCAGATGTTGAAACCCAGAAAGACCACTGGCAACAGAGGGAAAGCAGAATTCCAGGTTCTTTTGCTTCCAAGGCTTATTCCATAACCCTGGGAAATATGGCCTTCTAAAAGCATCTTCACGCTTGGCAGAGAGGCAATTACATCTAATTCGAAAATAAGGGTCATGGCATAAGCCTTAGAGGCAGTGGTCTTTGTGGGTCTCAACATCTGGGGTAGAGGGAGTTCTAGGTTGTACTTTCCCAGTAAGCCACCTTAGAGTCCCATAATCTCTGGCCTAAGACAGAACAGTCTCCAAATTACATAATTCATCTCTTTTTACCCCTTTCAAACCATCTCCCACATTACTGACAATTATCTTTAAAACAAAAAATCTGATGGTACTTTGCCAATCAAATTTGACTTCACACTCCATTTTCTAAGAATTAAAATTCTGTTATACTCAATATCATGTAATAACCTATAAAGGAATAATCTACAAAAAAACTCAACTTACTATTGTGAAACTCGAAACAAAAAGAACATTGCAAATCAACCACAAATTAAAATAAGAAGAAATCAAAAAAAGAAATAAAAACTTTCCTGATAATGCAGAAAAAAAAACTCTGAAGTATAACATACAAGGTTGTTCACAAATGTAGAACTCCTTGTACTGCTAATCACTCAGGACAATGAACCAACTAAAAGATATAAAATATTGCCCCTTAAAGCCCTAGTCTTCCTCAGTGGTGAATCAGTGGTGAAGAAGGGGTAGGTTAAACCTATGCAGAGCGCTAGAACCATGCTCTCTTCAACAAGACTAGAAATGAAATTTAATGAAATAACTGCATTAAAAAAGGCAGTTCAAAAAGAAAAAGGTAAGTGGCCTTTTAAGCATATTAAAAGATACTCAGAATCTCTCATAATGCAAATTATATATTTAACTAATTACATTGGCAAAGGTTAAAAATGAAAAAAAAGCTGATAATACACCATGTGGGAGGACACTGAGAAAGAAGCACTCTCATATACCATGTGAGTGAGTACGGATGACTAAAACACTTTTGTGGAGGGAAATTAGGCAGTATCTGTTAACTTTTAAGATACATGGATCTCCTGACTCAGATTTCACTTCTAGGAATCTATTCTACAAATGACACGCACTGCAACACTGCTTCTGGGAGGAATGTATCAGATACCAAAGGGACTTAACTAGTTCAAGAAAGTTTTTCATCAGAACAAGGATTATACATCCATATACTACAATGCTATCCAGCGACTTAAAGGATGAGATAAAGGATGTACTGACATAGACTTAGGTAGAGTTTGGGGCTTCCCAGGGAGCTCAATGATAAAGAATCCACCTACCAATGCAGGAGATGCAAGAGATACAGTTCAGCAGGGGTGGGAGGGAGGAAAGGGAGAGATTAAAAAAAAAAAAAAAAAGAAGAGACACAGGTTCAATCCTGGGTTGGAAAGATCCCTTGGAAAAGCAAAGGGCAACCCACTCTGGTATTCTTGCCTGAAAACTGCAATGCACAGAGGAGCTGGACACAACTGAGCACTTTCACTTAAAAGGTAGAGTATGCCACCATCTGCATTTCCAACCATTCTCCCTATCAAAAGGGACACACACACATACAATACACGCATAAAGACCTATTTGTGTGTGCATGAGAAAAAATTTTCTGGAAAAATTCTTAAGAGACATTTGCCTAAGTGAAGGAGGGCTTGAGATCTGGGATGGGAGGACTTATTTTTCAACATATATGCTAGTACTGTTTGCAATTTTTAACATGTGTACATACTACTTTTTCAAAAGAGCATTTCACAATTTTTAAAAAATAGATGAGATGACCCATTTTAGCAACCTCCCTAAATTTGAAACTTCCACTTCAATCACTTTTTTCTTTTCTCCCAAGGTAGGTCGTGTACTTTAATAATGCTAAGGCTTACTCATTACATCATGGAATATGATGTCTTTCCCCAGCCCGTCATCAGTCTTAGTTAAGCCATACTCAACCATCAAGGCCTACAAGGCTCAGAAATACTACAGCAAATCACCAAAGAATCAGGATTTACCAAGTCTATTTCAAGGTCTACAATCTGTTAAGTATATCATGCTATGTCTCTAAACCAAAGTCAAGGATAATGTCTAAATCATCCTTCTAGTCTCTATACCAAGCACATAGCAAGCACTCAACAAATAGTTTTTGAAAGAATAATGAATGCATATGAGAGGGAAAGAGAGTTCCCTAAAACTTTAATGAATAACCTCATTTTTATATTGGATATCCAGGAATACAGGAGCACAAGATCGATGGAAGAGTCATACAGTCAGTGTTAGACAATGCAAAGCCCTACAGTATAAAAGCTTGAATTATAACTATGGATAAAACCATGAAACTTCTACACAGTAACATTACTGTTTCAGTTCAGTTCAGTCGCTCAGTCATGTCCGACTCTTTGTGACCCCATGGACTGCAGCACATCAGGCCTTCCTCTCCATCGCCAACTCCCGGATTTTACTAAAACTCATGTCCATTGAGTCGTGATGCCATCCAGCCATCTCATCCTCTGTCATCCCCTTCTTCTCCTGCCTTCAATCTTTGCCAACATCAGGATCTTTTCAAATGAGTCAGTTCCTTGCATCAGGGGGCCAAAGTATTGGAGTTTCAGCTTCAGCATCAATCCTTCCAGTGAATATTCAGGATTGATTTCCTTTAGGATGGACTGGCTGGATCTCCTTGCATTCCAAGGGACTCTCAAGAGTCTTCTCCAACACCACAGTTCAAAAGCATCAATTCTTCAGCTCTCAGCATTCTTTAAGTCCAACTCTCACATCCATACATGACTACTGGAAAAACCATAGCTTTGACTAGATGGAACTTTGTCAGCAAAGTAATGTCTCTGCTTTTTAGGTTGTTCATAACTTTTTTTCCAAGAAGCAAGCATCTTTTAATTTCGTCGGTGAGGTCACCATCTGCAGTGATTTTGGAGCCCCCCAAAATAAAGTCTGACACTGTTTCCACTGTCTCTCCATCTATTTCCAATGAGGTGATGGGACCAGATGCCATGATCTTAGTTTTCAGAATGTTAAGCTTTAAGCCAACTTTTTCACTCTCCTCTTTCACTTTCATCAAGAGGCTTTTTAGTTCTTCTTCACTTTCTGCCATAAGGGTGCTATCATCTGCATATCTGAGGTTATTGATATTTCTCCCAGCAATGTTGATTCCAGCTTGTGCTTCCTCCAGCCCAGTATTTCTCATGATGTACTATGCATGTAAGTTAAATAAGCAGGGTAACAATATACAGCCTTGACCTATTCCTTTCCCTATCTCGAACCAGTCTGTTGTTACATGGCCAGTTACATGTCTGTTGTTACATGTCCAGTTCTAACTGTTGCTTCCTGACCTGTGAACAGATATCTCAAGAGGCAGGTCAGGTGGTCTGGCATTCCCTTCTCCTTAAGAATTTTCCAGAGTTTGTTGTGATTCACACAGTCAAAGGCATTGGCACAGTCAATAAAGCAGAAGCAGATGTTTTTCTGGAACTCTTGCTTTTTTGACAATCCAATGGATATTGTCAATTTGATCTCTGGTTCCTCTGCCTTTTCTAAATCCAGCTTCAACATCTGGAAGTTCATGGTTCACATACTGTGAAGCCTGGCTTGGAGAATTTTGAGCATTACTTTGCTAGCATGTAAGATGAGTACAACTGTGTGGTAGTTTGAGCATTCTTTGGCATTGCCTTTCTTTGGGATTGGAATGAAAACTGATCTTTTCCAGTCCTGTGGTCACTGCTGAGTTTTCTAAATTTGCTGGCATATTGAGTGCAGCACTTTCACAGCTTCATCTTTTAGGATTTGGAATAGCTCAATTGGAATTCCATCACCTCCACTAGCTTTGTTTATAGTGATGCTTCCTAAGGCCCCCTTGACTTCACATTCCAGGATGTCTGGCTTTAGGTGAGTGATCACACCATCGTGATTATCTGGGTCGTGAAGATCTTTTTTGTACAATCCTTCTGTGTATTCTTGTCACCTCTTCTTAATATCTTCTGCTTCTGTTAGGTCCATACCATTTGTGTCCTTTCTTGTGCCCATCTTTGCATGAAAAATTTCCCTTGGTATCTCTAATTTTCTTGAAGAGATCTCTAGTCTTTCCCATTCTATTGTTTTCCTCTATTTCTTTGCATTGATCACTGAGGAAGACTTCTTATCTCTCCTTGCTATTCTTTGGAACTCTGCATTCAGATAGGTATATCTTTCCTTTTTTCCTTTGCCTTTTGCTTCTCTTCTATTCACAGCTGTTTGTAAGGCTTCCTCAGATAACCATTTTGCCTTTTTGCATTTCTTTTCCTTGAGGATGGTCTTGATCTCTGCCTCCTGTACAATATCATGAACCTCCATCCACAGTTCTTTAGGCACTCTGTCTGTACTGTTTAAAGTAAGTGAAGTCTTCCCCTACCAGACTTTATTAGTTCTAGGTCTTATATGGCTTTGTTGTTCTCCCTTAATGTCTACCACAGTGCTTTCTATGGATATGGTAACAGAAATATTGTCTTTATTTTTAGTAACACCAACACTTTGGTGGCTCCTGACAGATACTCAAATAAATATTTCCAGAAGGACAGAAGGGACTGAGGGAAGATTAGATACAAATAATATTTGATGAAGAATAATACATCTAACAAAGCTGAATTTAGTCATTTTGTTCTAGAATGTTTACTTAACAACCAAATGATTTAGTTACTACCCCCTCAGATAACCTGAGGGGAGCCAACCCATAAAACATGGAAAGTACTACAAAGACAGGATAATATTTAGTTACATATTATCTTAGAACCTGTAGTGAACTAATTTCTTTAAAATATGCCCAACTTAAACTGACACAGAAATATTTGACTTCTAATTCAAAAAATACATTAAAAACTACTGATTTTTAAACTGGCATGAGAAAATTACATGAAACAAGTTTTTCAGAAATCTGGTATATTTTCAATATATGGCTGCAAAAAAAAATGAATACCTTTTAAAACTGTGGTGAAATCTCACAGCTGAAATAAGTACATGAGAAAATCTTTAGGAAAAGAAAAATGGTGCTTTTTATAAGGGATTGTTTTATCAAAACAGAGAGCAACATATTAGGATAAATAAAATTAAAAGATTATTAAATTTTTTTCAATTTTAACTTTTTAGATATTTGGAATATCTAAATTAACTGCTTTTTAATAACATATAGGCTTGCAGTTGTCAAAACTTTCCCCTGAATTTCTACATTCTGAGAATCCTTACCATTTAAATATCTACAAAACACCTAGGAAGCTTCCAGAGAAAATTTCCCTGGGGTGAGATTATATTAAAAGAAATAATCTAAGCCATTATACCAATACAGTAAACGAAAATGTTCTCAATACTTAAAAAAATAATTTTTGTTCACCAGGATATTTTTAGAACAGGTAATACTACCAAAAAGCCTTTCATTAATTAATTCCATACATTAATTACTGGGATGACATGTTTCACTTTTCAATAAGACAACTAAAATATAACTACCCAAACAAGTTAGTATTTAATAAACTTCAAAATATTGCAGAAACTATAAGTTCTGACAGGTGTTTGTTCTTACAAGCACATAAAATTTATTTTATCTAAATTTTAACTAGCTGCTTTCTAATAAGAGATCTTGTAAGTCAAATTTAACTGAAGAGTTAAAACCTACTTTTTTTAAAGTGACCCATCATGAGATATTTCAAATAACAAAATACATTTCCATGTGTATTTTTCCATTATTTCTAAAATAATTTCACTTCTTAACACAGAATTAACTGATCTTCAGGACAACCAGCTAACTTACAGTGTTAGTTGGGTCTTCTTGTAAAATTCGATCATATAGCTGAATAGCATCATCATATCTATTTAAAAAGAAAAAGAAATATCAAGAATGATTACCTTAAAATTTAATGACAAATAGTAAATACAGAAAAAGATTAAACTGGAAAGACTTTATATGTATTTACAATTACTACTAAGCATCTTCTGACCTTCACATAACAGTAAGTTTGATACAATGTCATTTTCTAAGCAAAAAAAAATCATAAATAAAATATTTATAGAAAAACTTACTTCAAAAACATACTGATTTGACTTGGTCTAAATACAAAGGTAAAAACTACAGCTCAAAGAGATACCTCTGTGGTCCTAGTTATACCTAGAATTACAGCAAATAATGTATTTTTTTTAAGTTTAATTTTAACAAATATTTTCACAAGGAAATGATCTAAGTATTTTTTTTCTTAGTTGCTAAGTCATGTCTGATTCTTTCGTGACCCCATGGACTATAGACTGCCAGGCTCCTCTGTCCATGGGATTTCCCAGTCAAGAATATGGGAGTGGGTTGCCATTTCCTTCTGCAGGGGATCTTCCCAACCCAAGGATCAAATTCATGCTTCGCAGGGGGAGTCTTTACTACTGAGCCACCTGAGAAGCCCCAATCTATGTGTTAATTCTCCTTTAATAAATATTTATGAGAGTTTTTCTTAGTTGAGCTGGTACAGTTCAATTCATTAAGCACCTATTAAGGAATTTCCTTTTGGCTCAGTCGGTAAAGACTTTGCCTGCTGTGCAGGAGACCTGGGTTCGATCCCTGGGTTGGGAAGATCCCCTGGAGAAGGAAATGGCAACCCACTCTGGTCTTGCCTGGAAAATCCCACACACATGGACAGAGGAGCCCACTGGGCTACAGCCTATGGGGTCACAAGAGTTGGACACGACTTAGTGACTAAACTAAGTATGTACACATAATACACTTTGTTGGGTTACAACCTCATATCAGTTTAGTTCAGTTCAGTCATTCAGTTGTGTCTAACTCTTTGCGACCCCATGGAATGCAGCATGCCATACTTCCCTGTCCATCACCAACTCCCGGAGATTGATCAAACTCATGTCCATCAAGTCACTGTGCCATTCAACCATCTCATCCTCTGTTGTCCCCTTCTCTTCCTGCCTTCAATCTTTCCCAGAATCAGGGTCTTTTCCAATGAGTCAGTTCTTCGCATTAAGTGGCCAAAGTACTGGAGCTTCAGCTTCAGCATCAGTCTTTCCAATGAATATTTAGGACTGATTTCTTTCAAGACTGACTGGTTTGACCTCCTTGCAGTCTAAGGGACTCTCAAGAGTCTTTTCCAACACCATAGTTCACAATCTCACATGGGAAACAACAAATTTATCAAGTGAAAAAATAATCAAATATGACAGGAGAAAACTAAGAAGCCAAGATTAACACTGTATGATAGTGAATCAAAAGGAGTGATACATCAGAAATCACATAAAGCACTTTATCTAACAATACACTCCTATATATGGTAATCTTATTTGGAGTACAAGGAGATAGTTAAGTGATTCAGAAATTCCTTCCTAACCATATCCATAACCCCCAACTCCCTTCCAATCAATTTCTTCACTTCCATATAAGATCTTTAGAGAAAGCAAAAATCCATGTTTAAAAACTTTTATAGCAGTGTTTATAAAACTAGGGACAGCAGATATACTCTTGAGATCTATTCTTAAGTTCTCTATGATAATTTTTTTAAGTTTTTCTCTTAATGATACTCAACACATAGAATATTCTATATCATCATATGACACATCCTTTAATTGAACATTGCCCCACAATTTTAATGACCAAGCCTGTATTTGTGATTATGGTCATGCCAATAGATAAGAATATTTTAACTAATGGTAGCAGACTACTGAGAAAATTAAAAGCAGACTTAATTTTTAAATGTGATTATACCATGCAAAGGCCAAACAGCATCATTACAACCTAAGTTAATCAGAGTTAGCAATAGCTCAGAAAAAGAAAATCACTTTAGAAATCAAATACATGGTAATATATGATTATAGGTATGCTAGCCTCACAAGAATCTGCAACCAGAGAAACAGAAAATAAAATCATTAAATAATAATAAAACAAAACAATAAAGTATATAAACAAGGGCAAAAATTAATGCTAAAAAGCACTGGTTCTCACAAGACAAAGTACATAAGAATCACCTGGGGATCTTCTCCCAGCTATATAACCTCTGGGAAATATACTGGAAATGACAGAGGAAAATAGGAAACCATTCATTTCATTAATACAATGATACTAATAATGTGAATTCTTAGGATTTTCGAGTCTTTTTGGTATTTTATTAGAAAACCTACATTGTCTTTACAGTTTGAAAACTATATACATAAGGCATTAATAGTTTTATATTTGAACATATTTAAGTTATAATTAAAAAAAAATAATTTATGTAAAAACTGGGTGTGATAATTAATTTTCTGTGTCAGTCATGGGGTGCCCAGATCAAATATTATTTCTGGGCATGTCTGAAGGTGTTTCCAGATGAGACTAGCATTTGAATTCATGTACTTAGTAAAACAGACTGCCTTCCCCAATGTGGTGGCCACCATCGAATCCCTGAGGGGTTTGCTAGAAACTTGAGTTAATACTTAAGAATAAATTATTACTACCATATTAATTTTTGTATGATTGGAAAGAAGGTAGAGAAATGATCTCTATTAAAATGTGTTAAAAAGATAATCTGAAAAATCATTCATCTTAGACTCTGGGATGTGTTTTGTTATTCATATATTTCAAGAATGGTCTAGGAATTCATACTATTTGAAGTAAAAAAAAAAAGTGGTAATAGAATAGAATACTGATTTTGCAGATTTCTTCCATTCTGCTCTCTGATTCAAAATTATTTTCTGCTAACCGCAATACTATTTTATTTTATTTATCCATGCCCTTTGCTTACTAACAGAGAAGATTCAAAGATATTAAAATACACACAGATAAAACAGATAAGCCAAAGTCAAGGAATAAAAGGGTTAAGAAAAACTGTATCAACAAATCTTGCAAGAAAAAAACTACAAGTGAAGTACAAGTAAACCCTATCTCACCTAAAGCACCAAGTTAAAAAGGTAAGAACCAACAACCTGACTATAAAATGAATATAAAAACTTAAGAGAAAAAAAAAAAACAGACTCAGAATAGACAAAATAATCTTTAAAAAAAAGAACAAAGTTGAAGAACACGCTTCCCAATTTTAGAACTACTACAAAGCTACAATATCATTATTGAATTCAACACAGTGTGGTATATAATAAACATATATATTGATGGAACAGAACTCAAAGCCCAGAAATAAACCATAATATAATTAACATTCAACTGATTAAATTGCCCAAGACAATTCAATGCGGAATGTAGTTTTTTCTGGTGCTAGGACAACCAGATATCTACAAAAGAAAGAATAAAGTTGGACAGCTGCTTCATACCATAAAAAATATTAACTCAAAATGTGTCAATGACCTCAGTGTAAAAACCCAAATTATAAAACACTTAGAAGAAAATAGGTGTAATTTTCATGACCTTGAATTAGGCAATGGTTTCTAGAAATAACACCCAAATGATAAGCAACAAAAGAAACAGTGAACTTAATTTAAAAAAAAAAAGTTTTGTAATCAAAGGACATCACTGAGTAAGTGAAAGACAAGCCATGTCATGCAAGAAAACTTTTGCAAATCAAATATATGTGATAAAAGACCTGCATCTAGACTATACATAAAGATCTCTTACAACTAAATAATAAAAAGATATAAGTTAATCCAATTTAAAAACAGAAAATATGAACAGACATTTCTCCAAAGAACATATATAAATGTCCAAAAACTGCATGAAAAGATACTCAGATTTCTGGTTCCTGTTCTGGCACATAAAGACTGGAAATCATCACTCCTATCCTCACAAGAAAAAGATAAACATACCGAACCAACTACTCGTAGATATCAGACAATTAAACTTACAGGGAAAGCCACTGCATCCAAAACTGCCAGACAGGTGAAAACGATCAACGCTTATGCCATCAAATGCTGTTACAACTAACAAACAGTGAAGTTGCAGAATACAAAATCAATATACAAAAATCTGTTGTGTTTCAATACACTAATAAGAATCTTATTGGAAAGAGAAATTAAGAAAACAATCCCATTTATAACTGCATAAAAAAGAATAAAATACCTAGAAATAATTTAATCAGAGTTGAAAGCCCTATATATTGCAAATTTAAGATACTGATGAAAGAAACTGATACTAAAATAAATGAGATGACAGCTCATGCTCAAGAATCGGAAGAATTAATATTGGTAAAATATCCATAGTACCCAAAGAAATCTATAGATTCTGTGCAATTCTTAAAATGCCAATGGCATTTCACAAAGAAATAGAACAAAACAATCCTAAAATTTGTATAGAATCACAAAAGATCTCAAATAGCCAAAGTAATCATGAGCAAGAAAAACAAAGATGAAGGGATCAAGCTATCTGATTTCAGACTATATTACAAAACTATATTAATCAAAACAATATGGTACTGACATAAAAAGAGACACATAGATCAACGGAACAGAACAGAGAGCCCACACATGTATGGTCAATTAGTTCACAACAAAGAAGCTAAGAATATACAATAGGAAAAAACCACTCTCTTCAATAAGTGATGTTGGAAAACTAGACAGCTGAGTGAAACTGCACCTCTGTCTTTACACCACATAGAAAAACTCAAAACTGGATTAAAGAGCTGAACAGAAGATCCGAAACCATAAAACCCCCAGAAGAAAACATAGGTGGTAGGCTCCCTGACATCAGTATTGGTTTAATTTTACACAAAAAGCAAAGTCAACAAAAGCAAAGTGGGACTACATCATTAAAAAGCATCTGCACAGCAAAGGAAAACATCAACAAAATGAAAAGGCAACCTATGGAATGGGAGAAAACATTTGCAAATCATATCTAATAAGAGGTTAATAGCCAAAATATTATAAGAACTTATATAATTCAATAGCAAAAATAAAAAAGCAATCTAAGTAAAAAGGAGCAGAGGAATTGAATATACACTTTCCTAAAGAAGACACCCAAATACATGAAAAGGTGCTCAACATCAGTAATCATCAGGGAAATAAAAATTAAAACCACAATGTGATATCATCTCATACCTGTTAGAATGACTATTATCAAAAAAACAAAACATACCAAGTCTTGGCGAGGATGTGGAAAAAAGGGAACTGCACTGTAGACGGAATGTAAATTGACACAGTCACTATGGAAAACAGTATAAAGGTTCCTCAAAAAATTAAACACAGAAATACCATTTGATAAAGTCAATTCTAATTTAGGGTATTCACTCAAAGGAAATAAAATCACTAACTTGAAAAGTTATCTGAAGCCCCATGTTCACTGCAGAAATATTTACACTAGCCAAGGCATGGAAATAACAGAAGTGTTTATCAATAGATAAACAGATAAAGAAATCTGACCCTTGAACAATGCAGAGATCAGGGAAGCCTACATCACAGTTGAAATTCCATAAATAATACATAATAACTTAAATGTAGGTTTAAAAAACAAACCTACATCAAGTTGAAATTTCATATATATATATACATATATAACTTAGAATAGGCCCTCTATATACTTGGTCCTTCCTTAGTCAAGATTCTACATACAGATTCAACAACTACAGACTGTGCAGCACTGCAATATTTACTATAAAAGAAAATTTATGTATTAAGTGGACCCACACGATTCAAACCCATGCTGTTCAAAGTTTAACTGTATGTATTAACTCAATGTAATATTAGCCGTAAAAAAGGAAAGAAATTCTGCCATTTATGACAACCTGGATGAACCTTAAGGGCATTATGCGAAGTGTAGTAAGTCAGACCAAGAAAGATAAATACTATGTGATCTCACCTACATGTACAATCAAAGAGAACATGAACTCATAGATACATAGAACAGATTAGTGGTTGTCACAGGAGGGGATGGGGACTGGGAGAAATGGGTGAAGGTGGTCAAAAGGTACAAACTTCCAGTTATAAGATAAATTAAATCCTGGGACATACTACAACATGGTTTATTATAGCTAATAATAGTGTGTTATATAATTAAAAGTTGCTAACAGAGTAAATCTTAAACATTCTTATAAGAAAATAAAAATTTATAACTATGATGATGGATGTTCAACTTATTATGATAATCATTTCACAATATACATACAATTTATCAAATCATTATGCTATACACCTGAAACTAATATAATGTTATGTATCAATTACAGGCTTCCCTGGTGGCTCAGTAGGTAAAGAAAGAATCCTGCAATGTGGGAGCCCTGGGTTCCATCCCTGAGTTGGGAAGATCCCCTGGAGGAGGGCATGGCAACCCACTCCAGTGGGTTGCTTGAAGAATCCCCATGGACAGAGGAGCCTGGCCGACTGCAGTTCATGGGGTCACAAAGATTTGAACAAGGCTGAACATATTTTCCCCTTAGTCTTAGTCCCTGTATCAATTATATCTCAATTAAAAAATATACACATAGTAGCTTCTATATTTTGAGTGCCTGTGAGGGTACTATACATATATCATTACTAATTCTCAAAAAACCCTGACAAGCTGGTAATATTCTTGTTTTACAGAGGAATAAGACTGAAAAAACTTAAGCAAGTTAAATAATTTTCCAGGTCAAAAGATAATAAATCCTTAGAAACAGGATATGAAGTCAGTTCTTACTCCAAAGCATGATCCCATTCCATGAGGCCAAAGATGATAAATGGATTCCTCTCTTATGTCAAATTCTATCTAATGGGAATAACTTGTAGGACTGATGCTGAGAAGTACTCTGACACTATTCTGAAGCTGAGTAGCAAAAGATCTTGCATAATTAATGATGCTGCCACTGGTGCAGGAGGACCTAAATTTAAGACCCCATGTTTGCCATTTGAAAACAGGATCACACTATATGCAAGATTCAGTTACCTCTCCATGGCTTCAAATCTCATGCCCGTTAGTCTCTTGACTCTGTGACTTCCAGGGAACTGTCTTCTCAACTCCTGAAGACAAAACTAAAAAAGAAAAAAAATTATAAAAAGACCTGAAGGACAGTAATTACACTACATATACTAAATGATCTACAAGGAATGCCTTTCATAGTCTTCAGTGTATCTTCTTAAATAATTTCATTACTGAGATCTAATGACATAAGTGAAATTAATCAGTAATGAAAAATGGAGTGAAAGAAGAACTGTGAATTTACAGTGAGGACAACAATGAGTTCTCAGAAACTAGTCAAACTCTTAACTAAGAAAATGAGATTATGGGGGCCACTAAGCCATGAAATTAAAAGACGCTTACTCCTTGGAAGGAAAGTTATGACCAACCTAGATAGCATATTACAAAGCAGAGACATTACTTTGCCAACAAAGGTCCGTCTGGTCAAAGCTATGGTTTTTCCAGTGGTCATGTATGGATGTGAGAGTAGGACTGTGAAGAAAGCTGAGCACCGAAGAATTGATGCTTTTGAACTGTGGTGTTGGCAAAGACTCTTGAGAGTCCCTTGGACTGCAAGGAGATCCAACCAGTCCATCCTAAAGGAGATCAGTCCTGGGTGTTCACTGGAAGGACTGATGCTGAAGCTGAAACTCCAATACTTTGGCCATCTCATGCGAAGAGTTGACTCTTTAGAAAAGACCTGATACTGGGAGGGAGTGGGGGCAGGAGGAGAAGGGGACGACAGAGGATGAGATGGCTGGATGGCATCACCAACTCAATGGACATGAGTTTGAGTAAACTCTGGAAGTTGGCAATGGACAGGGAGGCCTGGCGTGCTGCGATTCATGGGCTCGCAAAGAGTCAGACACGACTGAGCGACTGAACTGAACTGGATGAGTCTTTGAATACTACCATATCACTCCTTCTTAAAAACTGCTTCCATAATGAATCAAGCCCACCTTAACTAACTACAACAGTTTCCTGGCCTCTTCTTCCTAACTACTGCATAAGCATTCTCTAGATAAAAATTAAGCTCTTTGGTAGTACTCTGAAGTCTCGATCAAATATTATTAACACTTTAATTTTGCCTTGTTCAAATCATATATTAATCAATCACCTTGTCAGAACACTTGTCCTAATTTAGGCCCATAAAATACAGACACAATATCAATGGAGTACCAATCTTCCTTTGGCAGATATTCATAATTCACCCATCAACTCAACTAAACAAATAATCAAATATTTATTGAGCATGAGGGATTATAAGAGGCTTAGAAATGTTGATGATAAAAATGATCCTTTCTAGTGCTCCAAACCATAAGTGATTAAAAATGCATTTAACTAATGAACAGATTATTAATAAGAAAATAAGTTTTAATATGATTTGGCAGTATAGCTTCAAAGTCTGTGTCTATAAATTCTATAATAAGAAAAATATTCAAGCTAATTAAAACAGAAAGTGAAGTTCAATTAGTTCTTTGATATCATGCAAAACTCGCAGTACTTGTTCAGTAAAGCTAACTGTGCTGAAATTCTGAACCATTAAAAAAAACACTGTTACCAAAAAAGTCATCTACTCACTTGATCTCCTACTTTATCAAATAGCATTTTGCTATACAAAAAATTATTTCAAAATCTCCAGCAAAAAATAAGCTGCCACCTCTGTTGGTATTCAAAAGACTATGTCTCATAGGTTTTAAAGGTAATACAAATGTTTTGTGGAATATTTTTTATCATGGGCAACTCCACCAGAATTAAATGTACTGCTAACACAAATTACATTGAGAAGGACAATGCCAATTAGACTTGTATATGTTCTCCAGGTATTTCTACTCTCTGGTATTGTTTTTTGTATTTTCTTGGCTTATGAGGAAGCAGCATGAAGGAGCACTTAAGAGGTCAGGATTACAAAACATAAACCACTGCTTCCTGATTTATACAATAAATATAGTGATACTATCAAAGAAATCAAATTAAGAAATAATTATATAGATCAAATAAAGCATATAAAATAAAAATGATGTAAAGCATTTAGAATAGTGCCTAGAATATAAGTGTTCAAAAATATAGCTATTATTATTTTACTTTAAAATTAATCAAAATTAAATTAAAAATTACTTTCATAATGCATCAGGCCCCGCTTAAATACCTGGTATGAGTATTTTAAGTCATGTTCTGTACATGTTAGGATTTTCTAATAATTTTAAGATATACATTTAAAATATCTCAAAACAATATTTAATGTTATGTGCAACATAAGTCATTTAACAACCCAAAAGACAAATTTGTTTTAAACTATATGTTTATTTTTAACTCTGTAATATAGTATAAACCACCTATTAAATAAAATACCTTTACCAACTAATTTAACCTCTGCAGTGAAACTGGGACATTAATATCTACTTTTCAGGATTGTTAAAAAGATATAAAAATATGATGTGGCCAAAAGCACCTAGTCAGTCCTACCAATTCAAGAGTAGCACTAAAAAACAGCTACAGAAAGCAGTCACACTACAAGCCACATACTGTTTACACACAATTCATGAAGGAAATTAAATATAAAATAAAATATACTCACCAATGCCAAGTCATCCCGACCATAGTCGAGGGCTGCAATCATCACCTGTTCATATATGATCCAAACTAAACACACAAACAGGAAAAAACTGAATTTAATATAAAAATCTCACAGCAGAAATTAGATAGTGAATTCTTCTTGCTTCTGGTATTTTAAAGAACATTATTTACAACTGAAAAGTGATTTATTATATTACATCTGGAATTAAGGAAAAAGTGTCCTGATATTTTTAGAAATGCATAATATTTTAATATCTTACCAGGTTAAAAAAAATTCAATTATTTAATACCTTTCCTGTTTTAAAAGATTCATTATGAAATACATGATCTGCCCAGGACTACAGCCTTGTGAGCTTTAAAACAAAAATGCCTATTTGATAGCTTCACTACTACCTATAATGATACGCCCTTCTAAAAATAAAAGTAATCATTCAGACTTCCTGAGAAGTGTTTTAAACAATAATAAATCATGGATTGATATTAAGAGCAGAAAAATCATAATGACAGGATTTAAAAAAATAAACTGTAAATGAAACATGTGCTGAGCATGAACATAATAGATTTAAAAACTTACTATCATCTCCAAGCTTAGAAGCATATTCACTAATTAATTCCTCTCCAACTTCCACAATTTGCTCACTATTTCGTGAGTTTTCTTCTCTCCATTTTCTCATTTTATCTCGCATTTCTGAAAAAAATAAGCTTGCAATTATATATACAAATTATTTGATTAATTTCAAACAAATTGACAAGATGAAATCAACTTTTTAAGTAAAGAAAATACACACACAGTAATGTAAAATTTGTGGTGTCTCAAATTTCATAAAGTGGAAAATCAATTTAACAAGAGCAACAGATCCTTTAGAAGACTGAAATTGCAACTGATATTACAGCTATCTTTATTGTATGGCATGGATCCTCTATCCCTTCAGGCAACTATGGATCATGCTTTTTTGAGGTTACAATGTTCAGAATTTGATAAAAGTTATGGATGATTTTTTCAGAAAAATGAATAATGTTACACACTGAACTCTCAAAAAATTCAAAGTGCTCCACTGACTCAAGAATATAAAATTTTCACAATCAGGGTATCACTTTAGGCTATCAGCACTGAAGGAATATTCATCACAAAACTCCCTTAAAAACATTACTACAACGGTCCATATAACATACAAAAATACACAATTACATGAGGAAATCAACACAGAAAAATTAGGACAAAGGAAATTTTTGCTTATATATAAAGAATAAAATGAATAATGTAAAGTAAGGTCAAAGGCACTAGCAAATAACGAAAGCTGAGAGAACAATTTTGCATGTTTTAATACAATAGGGAACTCTGGAATTTCAAAGAACAGCATTTTGATAAAAGCAGAAATAATAACTAGGAGTGGGAGAGTACCTAATCCAGAAAAAAGATCCCTTTTTTATATAGCTAAGGTAGAATAAACTGTCCAATTCACGAGTTACATACATGCTTTCTACTCTTACCTCTGAAAAATCTTACATATTCATATAAAGTTACCTTCTTCCTTCTACTGACACACATGTTGTATAGATTTAAATAGCTGACCTAAGTTGTTATTGAATGTTACTGAATACATGAGTTAAATTATCAATAACAATAAACTATTCTTCTAGAGAATAAATAAAAGAGAAGCACATGGGATTTTCCCTACTTTTATATGTACCATCTTGGTCCCTACAGTTCAAAGTCTACAGAAGAAAACAAAAATAATCATAAGATGAAAATAGACCCTACCTGAATTTACAAAAAAATGGTCTTAGAAAATCATGAATTAACAAGAGGGGACATTACTTTGCCAACAAAGGTCCCTCTAATCAAAGCTATGGTTTTTCCGGCAGTCATGTATGGATGTGAGAGTTAGACTATAAAAAAAGGTGAGGGCCAAAGAATTGATGCTTTTGAACTGTGGTGTTGGAGAAGACTCGAGAGTCCCTTGGACTGCAAGGAGATCCTACCAGTTCATCCTAAAAGAAATCAGTCCTATATATTCATTGGAAGGACTGATGCTCAAGCTAAAACTCCACTTTGGCCACCTGATGCGAAAAACCGACTCATTTGAAAAGACCCTGATGCTGGGAAAGATTGAAGGCAGGAGGAGATGGGGACGACAGAAGATGAGATGGTTGGATGGCATCACCAACACGATGGACATGAGTCTGAATAAGCTCCGGGAGTTGGTGATGGACAGGGAAGCCTGGAGTGCTGCAGTCCATGGGGTCGCAAAGAGTTGGACATGACTGAGCAACTGAACTGAACTGAATTCCTACAAATGAGCTTAACTCATTCTACACAGGAAGTAAATTAAACTGAATCTTAAAGACTGAAGAGGAATTGAGCAGGCAAACAAAAAAGTAAGTTATTCATACCCCACAGTTTAAGGGCTCAGTCTTATTAAGACTGCTCCCACTTCAGAAACCAATACAAGCCCCTATACCGTAACTACCACCTGAAGTTCACATTCTTTGTTGACCTGGCAGATTATTTTAAAACAGGAAGAGTCTTGGAAATATAAATTTATTTAGTGTTTTACAGATCTGTTTCACAAAACTACACTCCTTGCCCGTACCCTGCAATGTCCTTTAAGACACTGTACAATTCCTTTCCATAAACTAGAGACTAAATGGGAAAAACTGGTCCCATCTCCTTTTTAGTCAAATTTCTCACTTACCAATAGTATTCAACTTTCCATTCCTACTTATTCATAACCAAGGTATATAAATGGGAAATCCCTGACTTAAATCATTCCCCTTTCACCTATTGTCATGTCCCCCATGACTTCTACTTAATCATTCAAAAATATATTAATACATTATTTCTATAACATTCTAGAAACAGTGAAAAAATTGGGATTGCAGAGTCTTGGCCACTGGATCACCAGGGAAGTCCCTAATGTTCATTTTTAATCCTACTAATAATTCAGTTAGTCAACAGATTACTGAGTTCCTCCAGTACCTAACGCTCTAGAAGAAAGGCCCTGGCCCTCTCTTCATTCTAGGAGAGACAAAATTTTTAAATGTAACACAATTGGGTAAGTATTTCAATAGTATACATAGTTATATAGTATACATAGTTAAAAGACCAAGGGTAAATTTTGTTGCTTTTGTTATCTTTTTCTTTCAAACTTTCCTGTGGGGATAGGAATAGGAGGGGGTGATGGGTGGAGTCGAGAGAGGGGTGGGAAAGGCTCTCTGAAGTATGTATGTGACTTTTGAGGGGAATTCTAAGAAATGATAGAGTATAATGGGTAGAGTATAAGACTAGAACAAAGAGGTAAGAACACTTCCATAGGAAGGAATAGCTTATGTCCAGTCTTAAGACAAGAGGAATATTGCACATAGGGAATTCAACAAAAGCCAGCATGGCCAGATCAAAGAGTAACCGGGAAAGTAACTTAAGATAAAGCTGATGACACAGGCAGGAGCCAGATCATTTTTTTTATATGTTATTTAATAGTTTAAAAGCACTTCAACATATTTTTTTCCCTTTTGTTCCTCAACAGACCTGGGAAGTAATTATTTACTCATCTAAGTAATTATGTCACTCATCTTTAGAATGTCCAGAGGGTAAAGTCTAAGCTACTCAGTTAAATCACCTCGACTGCATCTACTCATTTCCTGTGCGCCTACACGATATTATCATCTAAGAAATTTATGTTGAACATACCTTCAAAATAGCACTTTCAAAAAAACCATGAACTATTTGAAACATCTTTTAAAGGCATTAAAAATAATAGCCTCATAGCTACTGAAGGAATATATCCTGACACACGCCTTTTAAAACTACGTTTTTACAAGTCTATCTTTCTCCATCAGATTATGAACTCCCTAAACGTAGGGACTGTGTGTTACTTAATTGGGTATCATCAAGATCTAGCACTGAGAACTTAATACTTTAATATAACAGATTGCCCAATACAGGTAGAAACACGATGGTTCACAGTATGCTAGAGGCCACAAAACCAGTAATAAACCACTGAATTAGTTCCAGGATAAAGGAATTTTACCTTTTCTCATTATTGTTTGCAACTTTCAATATTGGAGAGATTTACTCGACACTGAACAACCAATACAACTCTCAGTCCACGCGTTATCAGGCGTTTTTTAATAAAATATTTAAATAACATCATTGAGATATCCGAACAAACAAGCTCCTGAAGTCTACTGTGAAACGCTGGAAATATAAATTTCAATTACACAAATTCCATGCCTTAGAGAAACTCAAGGTTCTTTTCTTAAGCATGCATACCTCCCACTCAAGATTTTTAAAAGGGACAATCTCTTTCAGAATTGGTTCAAAGTTTGACTGCTTCCAAATTTAAAGACAAACTCCACCTCAGATTAAACGAGAATTTATTCCACCTTCAGAAAAGGAATTACTGGCAGGGAATAAGAAGCAAGTTGGGTCGTGTGTGTAAATTCGTCTTGAGGGGAGTGGGACAGGAGGATCATTTTAAAAGGGGGGAGAGGGGGAATCAGAAACCCAGTTTTGAAGAGAGAAGGGAATGTAAACTAGCAGGGAAAAGAATCAGATATATTTACGGGTTTTCCACACAATTTACTACACAGAGTTGTACCCCTTACAGAGCATCTGAAAGACCTTTACAGGCCCAGGATTTCTCGGCTGCAAAGACGCTTCAGCGGGCAGCGATAGCTGCCTCCTCCGCGCCGCCCAGCAGCCACAGGAAAAGTGTGAAAGCCCCAGATCCCGGTTGCCTTATAGAGGAAGCTGCCCTTGGCCGCTGTATGGGCGCGGTGGTAGGCCGGTTGGTCAGTCAATCTACCGAGCCAAGCGGTGACGACCACCGCAGACTACAGTCAGAGGCCGAGCCAAGGAAGGGGTGAGCCTCCACCTCCACCTCAGTCAGCTAACTACCTCAGCTATCACCTCAGCTCGGCCGAGCCAGAGCCGAAGAGAGATCGGAGAATCCAGGTCTCCGAGGGTAGCAGGTACTCCCGAGCCGCTTCCTGCGGCTTTCGGTCTCTCGGCGGCGCCCCCGCCCTCAGTTACCTTCCCAAGTGACATCGTACAGCTCTGACACCTTCGCCATCTTCTTAGACCCTGAAAGCGGCCGGGCGAGGGGGCGGGGAGACGTGGTCACGCGACACGATACCAGGCAGTGGCGAATTACGATACCACTTTTCATTGGCCGAGGGAACGAAGGGGGCGGGATCCGTTGCGCACATGCACGCGGCTCTGACTAGGGGCAGTCGGGGAACTGGGCGGGGCGAGCTGGGAGGCGCGCGGCGCGCTGGGACTGTGAGGACACCCTGGCGGAGCCGCTGGAGCAGGCTTGTCTTGAGGTGTTTGTTTTACCATGACTTAACAAAAGCTGGGTTGTTTTCTTTCTTTCTTTCTTTTTTTATGTATGCCATCCCCGGTTTCTCATTTTTTTCTACATGGGTGCTTCATTCTCTACTCACTCCCTAATCAGTACCTTGTTCTCTTCATGACCTGCTGCAGTGCAGCATTCAGCTCGAATCTCTCATCTGTGCCCAGCTTTACTCCGCCCGTGAAGGGATTTGCCTCGATTTCTTTTTTAATATTCAGCAGAACTAATACACTTCAAAAAAAGTTCGTTAAATCTGCTTGAGGAGCTAAGCAGGGGTCTGTGTTTGCACATTATGCCCCTGTGGCCGAGGACTTAATGTTCACACGAAGGGCATCGTGCCAAGCTAAACCCTTAGTTAACGCTCCCCGTGCGTCACTGGTCTGCTTGCCACTCTAGATTTGAAACTCCATATAAGCAGCCGGTATGTAAATGATTATAAGGAAATATGAATGAATGTACAAATTAAATGAGACCTTCACAGCCCCTCCACTTCGCTCCTCCTCTTTAGTCACATGGGGGAGCCTCCAGGCTAATTGCTTTCAGGAAACCTTTGGACTAAAGCTAGGGGAAAAAAATGTCTGCATTGGAGGCAAAATAATTGAGGGTCGTAAGCGTACATTTGGGCTTCCCCGGTGGCTCAGACCGTAGAGTTTGCCTGTAATGATCCCCTGGAGAAGGGAATAGCAACCCACTCCAGTATTCTTGCCTGGAGAAGCCCATGGACAGAGGAGACTGGCGGGCAACAGTCCATGGGGTCACAAAGAGTCGGACACGACTAAGTGACTAACACTTAGGACGTAAGCGTATGTTTAGTATTTGAACCAATGAGAACGTAAAAATGTAAAGGGGAAATACGTAAAGAGAAGAAAAAAGGCTAGAAATCCCTGCATGAAAGATACAGTTGAAGGCCAGTGAAGAAGAAACAGTCAAGATATGAGAAAAAAGGAAAACAGAGAGTCCTATCCCATATGCCAAAGGAATAGAGTTAAAAAAAAAAAAAAAAAAAACCTATCAGTGGCACCTGCTCAAGGGAAGTTGCAGAAGGGTAGAAAAGACTACTAAATTTATAAGTTTAGTTTAGAGTCTGAATGAGATTCACTGTCTCCAGACCAGACCTTTAAAAAAAGGCTTCATTCAAAAAATTGAGAAATTCCAGAGGTATAGAACAGACTTGTGGACTCCGTGGGAGAAGGCGAGGGTGGGATGTTTCAAGAGAACAGCATCGAAACATGTATATTATCTAGGGTGAAACAGACACCAGCCCAGGTTGGGTGCATGAGACAAGTGCTCGGACCTGGTGCACTGGGAAGACCCAGAGGGATCGGGTGGAGAGGGATGTGGGAGGGGGGACCGGGATGGGGAATACATGTAAATCCATGGCTAATTCATTTCAATATATGACAAAAACCACTGCAATGTTGTAAAGTAATTAGCCTCCAACTAATAAAAATAAATGGAAAAAAAATAGAAAATTAAAAATAAAATAAAGGAGAAAAAAAAAATTGAGAAATTCCAGGCGCCATCATTTAGTAGCTGCTTGACTTCCAATGTGTGTATTTTTGAATATAAGAGTTGCTCAGATATAAAGAGAAGCTACTCATCAATATAAAAAGAAAATATCTACTTGAGTTGTTATCAAGATTAAAAGAGACCGTGACACTCAGGGAAGTAACAGTCCTGTGGCTATAAATAGTATTTATATACTGATGCCCAAATGTACAAATCCAGCAGTCCTTACTTCTGCCCTGAAACCCAACTCTACTTTCTTGACATATCCACTTAGATGACTAGTATGTATCTCAAATTTAACACCTCCCAAACAGAAGTCTGGGTTCCTGCCATCATGGCCCCCATCAGAATTGGTGAAATATCCACCTGGATTCACAAGCTAAAATTCTGGCAACCCCCTTATGTCAAGTCTGTTAGCAGATCCTGTATTGTGTGCTTCCAAATCCATCTGTTTTTTTCTTTTTCGTCCCCGCTGCTACTACCTTAATTGAAGCTAAGAGCATCTCTCACCTGAATGAGTGTCAAAGTCTCCTAACCTCCTTAGCTTCATTCTTGCTGTATAAATCTATTTTCTATACAGTACTACTGGTCTTTAAAAGAAAAACAGAACAAAAACCACAAAAAGTCCTTTGCTTACAGCTGTCAAATGGCTCCCCGCCAGCAACAAAAATATACTCTATAAACACTTTACCATGGTTTACAGGGTTTTACTCAATGCAGCTCCCTCCTACATCTCTTCCTTCATATTTTACTATTCTCTTTTCACTAAATCCCAACCATTTTCATCTATTTCTATTTCTCAAACATGTCAAATTCCTATCTGCTTTGGGTCTAACATTTACACAGAGGGCATGAAAGCCCAAGGAGTTATCTTTGAATGACTTACAATGGGTATAACAAGACCCTCATGCTGGGAAAGATTGAAGGCAGGAGCAGAAGGGGATGACTGAGGATGAAATGGTTGGATGACATCACCGACTTGATGAACATGAGTTTGAGCAAGCTCCGGGAGTTGGTGATGGACAGGGAAGCCTGGCGTGCTGCAGTCCATGCGGTCACAAAAAGTCGGACATGACTGAGCAGTTGAACTGATAACAAGTACATCTAATTGAGGGATAAATGTTTTCCAGTCCCTTTAACTAAATGCCCTTGTAGCCAGCTACTGTTGTCTGTCATACGATAAACTATATGACATAAGGTTAAAAGAAATTAATAGTTTTTGAGCCGTAAACTAGCATAATTTCATTTTAGATTTATAAGGAACTTGTGATTTTTTTGGAAACCATATGTCAAACATTTTTGCCTGGATCTTACATTAAGGAATACATTTTACATCATACAGTGTGCATATAGATATTTAAAACTGAAACAGCATTTGCACACTAGCTTTTTAATGTGTCTTGTCTTATATTGGGACTTGCCAGGTGGTTCAGTGGTTAAGAACCCGCCTGCCAATGCAGGAGACATAAGAGACGCTGGTTTGATACCTGGGTTGGGAAGATACCCTGAAGGAGGGCATGACAATCCACTCCAGTATTCTTGCCTGGAGAATCCCATGGACAGAGGAGCTTGGCAGGCCACAGTCCACAGGGTTGCAATGAGTTAGACATAGCTGAAGTGACTTAGAACGAATGCAAGTCCTCTATATTTTCTATTCAATTTGAGTCAATTCCATTTTATTTTATAAAAATATTTGTTATGACCCAGTAATAGGGTAATGGCCCATATTTTGAAAATCACTAATGGACATTGTTCATGTTTCTTAATCTGAGGTCCTGAAATTAAATTATTTGCTCAAGTTCTTGCTACTTGTAGATAACAAAGATGAGAAATTCATAGGGAGGAGATGAGTTGTTTGGTTCATAGATGAAAGATGAAATGTTTACAGGAAAAAATGTTTGTCACCAATAGTACTCTCTGAAGTGAGGAAAGTGACTTTTCATACGTTATGACATCTCAGATGTCCAATAAAGCTTGCTTTCCTCAGACATACTTGGGAAAAACTGGCATGTCAGTAACAAAACTTCTGTATTTTTTAACATTTTATAATGTTATTATAAAATAAATAAAAAGAAATATCTTCTATAGATAAAACCATAACCTTGGAAACATGAACATCAAGCATAGATTCTATAAATCTACCTTTACAAATGTTTTTCAAGTTGTACCTTTCATCTTCCCATTCCTTTGAAAAAGTTTTCATTCATGCATATTAAAAATTTTAATCCAGTTTATCTGATTGAACAGCTGCCTAGTGTTGGTAACAAATATCAGGAAGCTATCCAAGCAGACAAATATTAGATTATGCCATGTCCAACACCATAGGAAGTACTATTTCATTTAATGATTTCAACAGCAGAAGAAAAAGGGACATGGATGTGATGTATTACATGCTTTTTAAAATATGAACCTATTATATGATTTTAATTTTTTTTCCTACAAAATCATGTTTGAGTAGTTAGAATATCAACACATCAGAATGAGTTAGGGTCAGAAAGTAATAACTTTGAATAAGCTCACATATTCTTTGAGGTAGGATAAGCTTTGATTATTTATCAAGCCAGATTGCCCCACAAAGTGCTTTAGAGGGCTTCTTTTTTGTGGTCATGGTTTACTTAATTAATGTCTTCAGACATGAAAGACTAAAGCAACTTCTTAAATTTAATAAGTTTTATGACTTAAAATGTACATTAACAGGACAAAACATAATACCATTGTAATTCATTCTTGCAGTCTTCAACATAGTCATCAGATCTTTTATTTAAAATCTATTATCTGCTTTGTTCTGTCTTAAAGTGAATTCAAATATTCTACATCATGAAGCACAGTTTATAACCTTGATTTACTACTCTGACAATTATCCATCAAAGTAAATTAGTCTTAATGCAACTCTCATATAAAATTTATCGTAGCTTTTAAATTGTTATTGTTTCTAATTAGTGAATAATAACCACAATCCCTTTGTATTTAAGGGAAAATACTACTTGTTTCATTTTGACAATAGATTCTTACTGTGACATGTTCATAGCTGGAAGAAAGTTTTGCTTAGAGTTTTATTTACCAAGTCCAGATTACTATAGAGTTGTTTTAGGAACCTTCTGAACCTTGTTTTTTGTTACATTTTTTGAAAGTTATGTTCTTTAATACATTCGCACAAAACCCAAGAGCCTATGCCTTCTTTATTGGCACAACCACAGTATTTAGGCACC